GCACCTTGTTGTCATAGAGCAGGGGTTAATCAGTGATGGGCGTAAATTAAAATAAAGAAATCAACGGCTGAAGAGCTGGTGCACTGTTCAGGGGTTCAGGTTGTTGGACAATTGGAATGTCTTTTGGAATAGAAAAGACTTGCTCAAAAAGGATGGGTCTAACCTAAACTGGAAAGGAACCAATATCTTAGTGGGGAAATTTGCTCATTCCATTAAGGAAGACATTATACTGATAGATAGGAGGAATTCTAAGTAGCAGTGTAAAAAGAAGGATTGTTGGGGAAGTTCTGAATGTGAGGAGAGCATGTCAATTAGAAAAGAAAGACAAGAGAGAGTCAGAGTATGTTGTAACCCTGAAGAACTTGGATGGGTGGCACAGTGGCTAGCATTGCTGCCTCACAGCACCGGGGGCCCAGGTTCAATTCCACCAGCAGAGTTTTGGATGACGGCCAGATGGCTGAAGAGGGAGACTAGTCCAGAATGGAGGTCCAGAGGAACTTCCAAAAACTCTTAGAAGGCCTGATAGGCTGGGCTGTTCTAGAATGTGATATATACAGCCACAGTTCTGAAGAAGTAAATAGTCATGTTACATTGAACCCTGTTGAAGTTGCAGACAATCTGTGGGCACAGATAGTGAAATCTACACCAGCCTTTGGAGGGAGCAGATATATCCTGTACAGTTCCTGGGAGCCCTAGTAATTATACCTGACTAATATATTGTGGTACTTGTTGCTATCCTGCAAAATAAATCTAGTTAACCAACAGTGGCAAGTTATGCTGCAGATTTATAGAACTTCAGATAGGCCACACATGGAATATTGTGTACAGTTCTGGTCACCATGCTACCAGAAGGATGTAAGCAAAAACAGAAATTGCAGGAAAAGCTCAGCACATGTTGCAGCATCTGTGAAGAAAAATCAGGTTAATGTTTCAGGTCCAGTGCTCCTTCCTCAGTTCTGTTTTTGTTCCTGATTTACAGCATCTACAGTTCTTTCGGTTTTTAGCAGAAGGATGTGGATACTTTGGAGAGGGTACGGAAAAGGTTTACCAGGATGTTGCCTGGTATAGGGGATTTTAGCTATGAAGAAAGGTTGGATAGACTGGGTTTGTTTTCACTGGAATGCAGGAGGTTGAGGGGCAACCTGATAGAAGTTTATAAGATTGTGGATGGCATGGATAGAGTGGAAAGTATGAGGCTTTTTCCCAGGGTGGAGGGGTCAATTACTAGGGGACACAGGTTCAAGGTGTGGGGTGGGAGGTTTAAAAGAGATGTGTGAGGTAAGTTTTTCACACAAAGGATGCTGCCAGAGGAGGTGGTGGAAGCAGACACAATATCAGCATTCAAGATGCACCTGGAAAAATACATGAATAGGAAGGGAATAGAGGGAGACAGATCCTGTAAGTGAAGACAGTTTTAGTATACAGGGTAAAATGTGTCGGTGCGGGCTCGGAGGGCTGAAGGGCCTGTCCCTGTGCTGTATTGTTCTTTTGTTCTTTGTAACAGTGCCTCGTCTGGAAAGACCCTCTGGTAGTCTATCCTTCAGCACTGACATTAGACAGGCTCCAAACCAAAGTATAGACAAAGGAAAATTAATGGCAGTGGACTGAAAACCTTACTCTGCACAACACACTGGCAGAGGTGGCAGATAACACAAGGTGCCCATGGTGGAAATCAGTCTGATACTACAAGCATCACGGCACATAGGTTCACTTGGAGTGGGAGAAAGCAGATCCACTTGTTTTACTGAGAGAGTTTTCGTGCAGTCTGTGAGCCTAGCCATTGTGTTATTGTAAAACAAGGTTGTCTTTAATTGCTACAAGCTTTGTGTAATTTTTCACTTGACTGGGCTGGAGATTCGAACAGATTGAAGTGTTCCCCATGCTATTTGGGCACATGATTGATAACAGATGTGGCAGAACGATCTAGATAGCGAGCAGCCCACACTTCACTCTGCATGAAATTATCCTTGTGGGTGGCACGGTGGCTCAGTGGTTAGCACTGCTGCCTCACACCGCCAGGGACCAGGTTTGATTCCACCCTCGGGTGACTGTCTGTGTGGATTTTGCACATTCTCCCCGTGTCTGCATGGTCCTCTGGGTGGTCCAGTTTCCTCCCACAGTCCGAAAGATGTGCAGGCTAGGTGGATTGGCCATGCTAAATTGCCCGTAGTGTTCAGGGGTGTGTAGATTAGGTGGGTGATAGGGGATGGGTCTGGGTGGGATGCTCTGACGGTTTGTGTGGACTTGTTGGGCCGAAGGGCCTGTTTCCACACCATTGTGTTTCTATTTCTGAAAAGATGTGTACAAGGAATTAAACCTGTTTACTGCCAGAGCTGATTCAGACTTCTCAGAGTTCCATTACTTCTTCCGCCTCCTAATGATGCTTACAACATTTTGGTTTATATAAAGTCAATGATAATAGCAGAATCTTTATCAAATAGAGTTTGACTTGGAGCAATGGAGGGTGTTTTCAAGGCTTAAAAGCTTGATGTAGGAGGTTTTAAGGAGCACCTTAAATTGGGAGAGAAAGACAGGAGGGGTGTAAGAGGGAATCCCGGTACTTAAGGCCCAGGCCCCTAAAGACACAAAGATCTAAGCAAGAAAACCAGACAGGAGGCTAGAGTTGGAGGAAAACAGATGTCTCAGAGGGTTGTAGGCCTGGAGCAGGGAACAGAGGCCCAGACCCATGACCAAATTTGGAATTCAGGATGAGAATTTGGCAAAAGCAAAGTGTTGCTCAGCCAGTGTTGGACAATGTGTACAGATTGTAACAAGGTCATCCAGATGGACCTCATCGAATATGAGCTCCCTGATTGGGGCTGTTAATCTGGTCCAATCAGGGACCCCTGGCTGACAGATATAAACAGGAGTGTCAGAGGTTCTGTTCACTCTGAGAGCTGGCTCTGAGGGAGCTGGGTCAGTGTCAAGGACTCTCCACGTGTAAATAATGGGTGACCTGGTGCTGGGGATACCAGCCTCTGTGCAGTTATTTCAAATGGGTGCAGAGGAATTGGTGAACAACGCTGGGCGCGGGTTAGGGTGAGTTATGGAGGCGGGGAATGGGGGTGTCAGATGGTGGTGGTCATTGTGGATGGTTGGGGGCTGAGCGGTGATCATGGGGATGGTTGAGGTTGACATTGGCAGGGGTACTGGGTTGCAGATTTGGAGGGGTTGAGGGGCATTGGCAGCTGGTGAGGCGTGTTTGGAGGGAGGTCAAATGTCAGTGGGTATTTGAGGTAGTCGGAGATGTGAGGGCAAATCCCCCACTCAGGCTTCTCCTTTAACCCCCCCCTCCATATCTTCCATCAAGTGGGGTAGAGGGTCTCTATGGGACAGGAATGTACAGCCCAGGAAATGTAGGGGAGGCACGGTTCAAGTGAGGCATTGGATGATAGTTAAAATAGACACAGTGTGTAGGGGTACATGGAAAAGGCAGGAGAATGATAAAGAGACATGATGCTCATTTGGGTGAGTCCCAGCACAGGTGCAATGGGCTGAATGGCCTCTCTGTGTGCCGCAACACTTCTGTGATTCTGCCTCTCCCAGCCCAAAGTCACGCTAACAATGCTGCAGCCACCTTTTTCAACAAATTAAAACCAAAGAAGGTTTAAGCATACGTAGAGGATCTGTCAGTCTCTTAACATCTCCCGGTCCTGAGGTCTCGCCGCAAGATGAGGGTCCAAGAGGTGACACCGTTACCACTGCCCCGAAATAAGTGCCGCCCCCCCTCTGCTGGACAGGAGGTTTCCCTCCATCAGCAATTATTAACTCAAAAGGGCAGCAGACTTCATTCATAGACTCATAGAGCACAGAAACGGACCCTTCAATCCAACCAGTCCATGCCAAATATAATCCCAACTAAAAGTGGTCCTACCTCCCTGCTCCTGCCCCATATCCTTACAATTCATCTCACTTTGAGCACAGTAAAATAACAGCAGACCCCACCCCCCAATAAAGAAGAGTTAATCAGACAAAAGACCGACACCAAGCTAGATACTAGTGCAGGTGACAAAAACCTTACTCTATTACTGAGGTTTTAATTAACGTCTTAGACAGGGCTGAGGGAGATACAAAGAGAGACAGAGAGTCAGAGTTCCACTGATTTGGGAACAGGTAATTAAAGGTGCAGTTACTGATGGTGGGACAATTATGATCAGGGATGCTCAAGGGCCCAAAACTTGGGTGGCACAGTGGCTCAGTGGTTACACTGCTGCCTCACAGTGCCAGGGACCTGGGTTCAATTCCACCTTCAAGTTACTGTCTGTGTGGAGTTTGCACGTTCTCTCCGTGTCTGCGTGGGTTTCCTCCGGGTGCTCTGGTTTCCTCCCACAGTCCAAAGATGTGCAGGTTAAGTGGATTGGCCATGCTAAATTGTGCAGCATCTGGGGATGTGTAGGTTAGGTGAGTTAACCATGGGAAATGCAGGGTTACAGGGATAGTTGGGGGGGGGGTGGTCTGGATGGGATGCTCTTTGGAGGCATCAGTGTGGATTCGATGGCCTGCTCCCACACTGTGGGATTCCATCAAAACTGGAGGATCTCACGGAAGTCGGACCTTGTCAGTGATCTGCTATTCACCCACATGCAGCTTCACAGTTGAAGCAAGTTCAATTGTTATATACTGTTGAAAGACAGACATGTTGCAGTGAGGCTACAGCAATGAGCAGTGCAACTGTTTGAGAAAACCTATGAGAAATGAGCCCCGGTTTGTTTTTTTTATTCATTCATGGGACGTGGGTGTCTCTGATTAGGCCAGTTAAGAGTCAACAGTGTGGATGTGGTATTATAATGAAACAAAGAACTGCTGGAAATCTGAAATAAAAGCAGAAATTGCTGGAGAAACTCAGCAGGTCTGGTAGCAGCTGTGGAGAGAGAAGGCAAAGTTAACATTTCAAGTCCAATGATCTTTCTTCAGAACTGTTCTGAAGAAGGGTCACTGAACTCAAAACATTAACTCTGCTTTCTCTCCCCATCACTGTGGGTCTGGAGTCACATGTAGGCCAGACCAGGTAAGGATGGCAGCTTCCTTCCCTAAAGGACATTGGTGAGCCAGGTGGGTTTTTCCCAACAATCAACAGTGGTTTCAAGGTCAACCTTAGATGCTTAGTTCCAGATTTTATTAAAAATTGAATCCACTTTCTAGGATTCAAACCCAGGTTCCCAGAATATTGCCTGGATCGCTGGGTGAATTTAACAATAATACTACTAGGTCATTGTCTCCCCACTGCAGTTGGTACAGCTATAGCAGGACTGCAAATAATAAGGACAGATTCTTTTTTTTTCATGCAATAAATAAATCACAAATTGCAAGAAAAACGTGGATGAAGAAGTTGGTTCAATCCATTTGCTATGGAATCCTACAGCAGTGCAGTCCACTGGAGTTGCCTTCAAAGAAGATATTTGTGATAAATTATTCTGTTGCTGTGGTTGAGTTTAATCACCACTGAGAGGATAATTAAACTGGGAAAATTACAATGCCTTGAATCTTACATGTTTTATTAAATATGGTCATAACCTCATGCCTCCCTGTCTCTAAATTCTTCTTCAGCCCTTTCACTCTCTGGCCTCTCCGCATTCCTCCAATTCTAGCCCCTCAAACACGGCCAATTTCCTTCACTCAGCCATTGTCCCTTCAGTTGCCTTTGTCATAAATAGTGGATATCTCTCCTTAATCCTCTTTGTCTCTCACTGTCTGCAATTTAAAAGCCTCCTGATTGTTGTGCGGCAGACAGAGCATGTGCTTATATCTGTTTCTACAGTCGGCTTTTCCTGAAAACAGATTGTAGCCTGGAGCTTGGGGGCATCACTCTGCATCACTCACCTGTTCTCACTGCCCGTCATAGGTGCATTGCAAAGATTTGCAGGTTGATAATCTGTCTGTTTGGCCATGTTGGAAACCTACTTTCTTTGACCATCTATTCCTGTGTGATGGGACTGAAACCCACAGCTTCTGATTCAGACACAAGGGGTATTATATGCAGCACCATGAGACCATCTATATACATGCTGATACCAGGTGAGGAAGGGCTATCTTATGAGGAGATGTTGAGTAGATTGGGGTTGTACTCATTGGAATTCGGAACAATGAAAGACTCCCTTATTGAAACATACATGATTGTTAGGGGACTCAACAGGAGAGATGTGGGAACATTATTTCCCCCTGTGGGAGAGTCTAGGACCAGAGGGCATAATCTCAGAATAAGGAGCCACACATTTAAGTCAGAGATGAGGAGGATTTTCTTCTCTCGGAGGATAGTGTAGAGGCTGGGTCATTAAATATATTCAAGGCTGAGATGGATAGATTTTTAACCAGTAAGGGAATTGAGGGTGATGGGGAAAGGGCAGGAAAATGGAGTTGAGGATTATCGGATCAGCCACGGTCTCAATGAATGGCAGAGCAGACTTGATGGGCTAAATGGCCTACTTCTGCTCCTAAGCCTTATGGTCTTACTGGGTTACAACATAATGCTTGAATGTTAGTGATCAGTCATTTCCATAATAGGTAATCCCTTTTTAATTTGTGCTCTTGTCCCTTCTGTTGAATCTCACATGGAACCCCAGCAACCCACCTGCTTGGTTATTTCGTTCTCCAACATGCTTGAGTTGGCTTGCCCCTGACCCCGAGTTGCCTGCATATCATTTTCTGAGTTGGCGTTGAGCGGTTCTGCTAATTCGTAGCCCGACTGGTCCAACTGGTCTTCATCCTCTCTATCACCTTCTCCATCACTGTCAATACCGAGCATATCAAGGCTGAGCCTGTGTAGACAGGGAATTGGAACACCAAGATCAATCAACAGATTTAATATAAGTGGTAAAAAAGCCAAGGATGAAAGATGAGTAGGTTTTTTTGGTGTATTAGGATACAAACAGTCCTTTAGTCATACAGAACTTGAATCTTGATGAAAAGAAAGGCATGTTACTGAAGTTTTGTGTCTTACGCTCATCAGGAGTAATGCAAAAATGCCAAATTTTAAGTGATCACTGCAATATGCTACAGAAGAATAGGATGCTAATTGTTTGACAAGGTGACTGTAGCTTTTGCATGGTGAAAATACTGGAATCGGTCATTAGTGTCACACACTCAAGATTGTCATGGCTCAATGATACTTGCCCAAAGCAACATACATTCATGCGTGCGGTCCCATTCTCTGTAAACAAGAAAGAATATGTTCAAACTTTGTGCTGTTTTCAAATTACCTGGAAGCTTGAGGGGGCTATGTTTCCCTGTTACTTTCTCCACAGCTGTCAAATGCTTTGGGACATCTTGAGGTTGTAAAAGCTGTGATTTAAATCCAAACATCTCTTCTTCTCTCTTATTGTCAATGTACACTGCTCCTGGGATAGTAAGGTACAGCTCTTCCTTACCCCTCACCACATTACGCAGTGAATGAACATTGAGTGGGAGAAGATTGGATTGTGATGCCCTCCCTGGTTAAACAGGTGGCTGACATACACTTTAACAGACAGTTGGAAGCTTTTTTAGAGGTCCATGGAACAGTAGAATTGCCCATAGAAATTTTATTATTTTTCAGCCATTACCACAGAGTCCCATAAGTACACCTTCCACTGTACATTCAGTACCTACTGTCCACAGGCTGGAAGATCTGGATCTGCATATTCCATTTTGTCTTTCCTGATTCCATAGGAACATAGAAAATTTTCTTTATTCATTCATGGGATGAGGGCGCTGCTAATTTGGCCAGCATTTATTGCCCATCCCTAATTGCCCAGATGGCAGTTTTGAGTCAACCACATTGCTGTGGGTCTGGAGTCACATGTAGGCCAGACCAGGTAAGGATGGCAGTTTCCTTCCCTAAAGGACATTAGTGAGCCAGATGGGTTTTTCCCAACAATCGGCAATGGATTCATGGTCATCATTACACTCTTAATTCCAGATTTTATTGAATTCAAATTCCACCATCTGCTGTAGCAGGATTTGAACCCATGTCCCCAGAATATTTTCTGGGTACTGGATTAACAGTCCAGCGATAATACCACTAGGCCATCGCCTGCCCTGAAAATGAGAACAGGTGCAGACTATTCAGCCCTTCGTGCTGAGTCTGCCATTCAATGTGATCATGGCTGATCGCTCAATGAAGTGCCCTGTTCCTGCTTTCTCCCCACAGTCTTTGATCCCATTAGACTTAAACATTGGGAGCTCTCTGGGCTGTTTGACTAGAGGCTCATCACATCCAAGCTTGATTGTGCTCTCTCCTGAAGCTTGTGCTCACACTGTGAGGGTTATAACGTGGTAAAGGAAGGGACCCCAGATAATTAGCGAGGGCTTAGTCTTTGGGTATACTTGACAAATTATGGTTTGAAAGTTTTCACAGTTAAGTGTTTACTGAGATAAAATATTTTCATATGAAAAGTGTTGGAAAGTTGTGATATCCACAAAGTGGATTTAATTATGTTTGAGCCAATTATTTCACTTCAGATTTATGCGTGACTTGCTTAAAGTTACTTACCTTCTGTTCCAAGAGAAGTACAGTATTTTAAATCTTCATCAACCGCTGATAAACTTGGTTGAGATGGTGAATAACCTTTACCGAGGTCATGCAAAACTGACCAAGCGAGTCATGAGTTTCTGACTTTGGCAACCTCTTGAGGGAACTAACTGGGCCTTGAATAGTATTTCCCCAGAAATGTACGTTGTTTAGTTGGCATTTCAGTCAGCTGTGCTAATAAAATTAAACACTCCTTTTCAAAATTGAACTGTTCCAAATGGATTTTGATCAGTTGTGGTTTTGTTTTGTTATGAGGTGAAAGGGGTTGAATCAGCTACCCTCTTTTCAACCTTCATGATTGGCCACAACAACGATATCATGGTGCCACACCTAAAAATGTAGTTACCCAAAGTCAACAGTACAATTACAACATTTAAATGGCATCTGGATGGGTACATGAACAGGAAGCATTTGGAGGGATATGGGCCAAATGCTGGATATGGGACTAGGTCAGATTGGCATGTCTGGTCAGTGCAGACAAGTTGGACCAAAGGGTCTGTTTCTGTGCTGTCTGACTCTGTAACTACATCTATATCTTTCTTTACAACATTCAACATTTTGGCTTAAATTGCTTTCCATGCCAGAGAATTCCACAGGCTCACCACTCTCTGGGTGAACAAATTTCTCTGTATCTCGGTCCTAAGTGGCCTACCCTGTATCTTTAGACTGTGACCCCTGGTTCTGGAATCCCCAAACATCAGGAACATCCTTCCTGCATTTACTCGGTCTAGCCTCTTAGGATTTGATAGGCTTCTATGAGATCACCCCTCATTCAGCTAAACTCCAGGAAAACCAGTCCTAGCCAATCTATTCTCTCTTCATCCATCAGGTCTGCCATCCCAGGAATCAGGGAGATTAACCTCATTTACTATTTGGTGGAACTTTTACTTCATTCTCATTAAACTCAATCTGCTACTGCTTCGGCCTCTCACTTAACCTGTCAATATCCAGTTCCAGAGTCTCCCAACTTAGTGACATCTGCAAACTGCAATGTACAACTCTTCATTCCTTCAACCAGGACATTGTTAAAACAGTGAAAGCCTGAGATCACCCATCCAGATCTGAGGGGAACACCAAATGTCATATTGTGTCAACGTGAGGCTATTTGTTTACAAGACAATGACATACAATGAATGAAGGGGAGAGCTCAGATTCATACTGCTCTTCAAAACTTTACAATAAAGCATCTTACAGCCAAGGATGCAGTTTTCTGAAGGGTACTGACTGTTGTAATGTAGGAAATGCAGCAGACAATTTGCACACAGCAAGCTCGCACAAACAGCACAGTGATGATTTTGTGTTGTTGATTCAGGGATAACTATTGACCAGAAGACTGAGGAGACTCCCCTACTCTGGGATCTGAGAGATTGGTTTAACATCTCATCTCTAAGATGACACAACCAACTGTACGACACTCCCCTCAATACAGGTGAGAAGAGAGTGGGCTAGTGCTAGTGGAATACAAGATAGAACCATAGAATCCCTGCAGTGTGGAAACAGGCCCTTCAGCTCAACATGTCCACACTGACGCTCAGAGCATTCCTATCCAGACTCATATCCCTATAATCCACCTCATCTACACATCCCTGAATACTACGAGCAATTTAGCATGGCCAATCCACCTAGCCTGCACGTCTTTGGACTGTGGGAGGAAACCAGAGTACCCGAAGGAAACCAGAGTACCCAGAGGAAACCCGCACAGACACAGGGAGAATGTGCAAACACCACACAGACAGTCGCCCGAGGGTGGAATCGAACTTGGGTCCCCGGCACCGTGAGGCAGCAGTGCTAACCACTGAACCACTGTACCGCCCCACGATGGCAGATGGAAAGAGGCTGTGACTTCAAATCAGTCTAACTGATGCAATCCAGTGTTTATATTTTCAGCTGTCATCACTGCCGAATGGATTCAAAAACTGACAAGTCAAGGACCTCAAAGTTAGTTAATAACTAAATTTAGCAACTTATTTACACACACAGTTTTGGTGACCTGTCCTATCTTCAGTAAGATGAGATATGTTGACACTGAGAAACAGACAAGCTATGTGTATCATCAGGTCAAATATCACATTGGAACAACACACAACAAATCTTTAATCTAAGCCAACATTTAAAAAAATATAGTTTTATATTTAAAGTAAGAGAAAATCACTGTTTAGGACTCAAACTTTAATTGGAGTTTTTTGTTAGCTAATTAAAGGAGTTGACATGGTATTTAGGGAGAAATTGTTTTCTCTAGTGGAGGAGTCCAAAACAAGAGATCAGAATCTTCAAATTAGACTGAGTTTTCTCAGGGGTATGTTGGCAAGCAGTTCTTCACACAATGGAAATCTGAAACACTCGTCCCCAAAAAGCTGCTGAGAACAGGGTTCTCAATTAAAAATTTAAACACCAGGATTGCGATATTTTTATCCAGTAAATGTATTTAAGACTTACGAGGTCAAAGTGGAGGTGAGCTACAGATCTGCCAAGGTATCATTTGTGTTTTATTCATCTATGAAATTTTAGAGTTTGTTTTCAGTTCCTAATTGCCCTTGAATTTCTATAGTGTATCTTCACAGGGATAGCTGCCACTGCTCCTTGAGTGTTGATGGAGCTGCACTGATCCAGGCAAATGGACAGTATTCCATCAGACTTGTCACTTATGCCTTGTAGATAGTAGACAGGGCTTTGGGGAGTCAGGAGATGAGTAATTCACAACAGAATTCCCAGCCTCTGTCCTGCCCTTGTAGTTACTGTGTTTATATAGCTGGTCCAGTTCAATTTCTGGTTATTGGTAACCCTACGTTACTGGTGGTAGGATTCAGTAATGGTAATGGACCATCAAGGCACAATGGTTAGATTCACTCTGTTGGAAACGGTCATTGACTGATACTTGTGTGGCATCAATGCGACTTGCCATTATCAGGCTGAATGTTAGCCAGGTCTTGCTGCTCATTTGCTGCTGAGTTGCAAATTGTACTGAACATTATGTAATCAGCAATGAACATCTCTACCATGACCTTCTTTTTGAATAGTTAAAGAGGCTTGAGGGCTGAATGAATTTGTCCCGTTTCTATGTGATTAATACAACAAATAGTGCTCACAGACCAAAGTAAAAGTGCTGGCTAATGATGAAGGGACTATACACATGGCAGCTAGATTTTACAGATGATGCAAAGATCGTTAGGAAAGTATGTCATGAAGTGGATATAAGGATGTTGCAAATAGGTATAGATAGGTTGAGTGAGTGGACAAATATCTGACAGA